TTTGTGGCACACAGCCACACAAACTCGAATGTGGAAGATAAACCCATTTGTTTTCCACTGCTTCGCGGAAGAGTCATGGCTTGGTAGAGTGAAGCGGGTGGCTGCTCAATGCCATGGGTCCACTATGGTTCACCGCGTTTTGCAGCGGTATTTGATTTGCTTGGGGCTCTTTCTGGAATCCGATCGCCGAAGGCGCCAGGAGTTGGGAGGAAAAGGGTAGGGTTTCACAACCTCGCTCTAAGCGCATCGTGTAACAGGTTCTGAAAACCAATGGAAAGAAGTGGTCAGGTTTTCACATCTGTATTTGATTAAACTTTCTAGCTATTCAGTGGCCCTCGTCCTCATGAGCCTCATGCGGGGGTTTGGGTGCTTGCGAGTCACTCTTCGCAAGCGCGTGTGCAACACGCCCGACAGCCAGACGCAGCCACAGAGCAGCCGGCATGAAAAAGCTCATGGATTGTGAAGATGCTGTGCGTGTTCCTTTTTCAATATGTGTATATATATAGAGATAAAATAGGTCCATATTGATGCAGTATACGCGAAAGATGACATTGTAAGGTTCTTGTCACGTGCATGGTTCCGTTTCCGTTCCACGAAGAGGAACTGAAAAACCAACAGGGCGCCAAACGCTCAAACCCCGTCGTGCCAACAAACCTTGTCCCCTGTGAGGTGTGAAAAAAATAGCCGGTAACTAGTAACGACTGCAGAAGTTTTTTCTGTTACGTTTGAACTGCAAAAGAGACATGTAGCAAATAAATCTACGTTGCGACGGCTGCGACCGATCATGGTGTGTTACAAAGTTACAACTATTGCTGGAGGCCTTGCGCCCTACATGGTGTGAACATCAGTGATGCCTCTAGATCTTGAGCATTGCGCTCTGGCAGCGGAGCTTCACAAGCAAAGCGCAAAAAATATTTAGTGCTGAAAAAACAATGCACGACAGGTGGCCCGAACATTCTCGTCACGTGCTCTATACACCCACAAAAGAAATCTCTGACATATGGTGGGTCCTTCAGGGCTTCAGCCTTTGTAGTCTCCAAAAAGTAACATGACGCGTGCAGCATGTTCGCCGTTGCCTCATGAGACACTTTCGCCGTTGCCTCATGGGACACGTTCGCTGGCTTCGTGGGCAGTACATATGGACAGACAGCACAAGGACAACACTATACACACAGAAACTCTAGTGTTGTATAATATCGCGAGTAAAGCCTCGCAAGGGGCAGATCAAAGGAAACAGTGGTGGCCGATGCGTGTAGCATATTCGCCGTTGCCTCGTGAGACACATTCGCCGTTGTCGTGTGCAGTACACAGACAGACAGTGCATGGACAACAACCCTGCCCACAGAAACTCCACTGTTGTACAATATCGCGAGTAAAGCCTCGCAGGGCAGATCACAGGAAACAGTAGTGCAGGTCGATGCGTGTAGCATGTTCGCCGTTGCCTCATGAGACACATTCGCCGTTGCCTCATGGGACATGGTCGCCGATGTCGTAGGAGTGTCACAGAATGACATATAACACTGATGCTGGGCACAAAGTGATATACAAACGACATGTTCGCCGGCGCCCACATGTCGTCTGTACCAAACCACTTGCCAACAACAACGTTGGATCCTTATGGTGCCTCCCTTGCCTATCCATTATCACAAGGACTACATAGAGCACAGACCTTTGGTACCATAATCATTTCAGCCCCTATGAGAGGACGTCACCTACTCGCCTATTTTGCGTATAATTCTAAACCGATGGTACAATATGTCTCCGACAGAACAGTGATCTTGTGGCAGCAATATGTCTTATATTTGTCACTTCTTCTCTGATGAAACAATCCCAGGTCAATTGATTCTGTCATGAAAAAAAGACATATATATATATAGCCTTTTCTCACGCCAAACGACCGTTGCTACTACACCATGGGGTCTTCCGGGTCCACCTGGGCAATTTTAATTTGAGTATTTCTCACTTGGGTCCATCCCATCCCCTACTTGCCACACCTTCTCCGTTCGCTTTGCTTCGCCCGGATCATTTCATGCCCGGCGGACCCTGACGCCGCTCAGCCCGACGACGCAGCAGGAGCCACAGGTTCAAAACCCCGATCAGATACTAAGTGATGCCCACCACTTGTGACGAAATGTTTTCCCGCGCGCCTGACATAATACAATGTTCTACAGCTAGTACGTTTCTCATCTTTTCGGCTGCTCTGACCACGGCAAAAACCAATACTGCTACGTTGTGGGATTGGGCATGGCGTGGCCTTTGCAAAGCCTTCAAGCAATTCTTGACACCCCTGAAGACGCCCTTCTGAAGCTGCATCACCTGCGCCACCAGGGCAAGCCAAGCGACCCCTCACACTTTGTTCACCAGCTCCAATGCATCTTCAACCACTTTGAACATTGCACATCATTTCACTTCACCCCATGACATCCCCCTCGCCTGGCTGGTAGCTTTCATGCTACGCCGCCACCCCGTACCCCACCCCAATGAACCTACTTGGGTTCAAACACTCTACAGCGCACTGCGCCCTCTCTACACGTGGACCCCGGACGATGTGCAGGCCAAAGTGCGCTGCCACAGCCCAACCAAGAGCGCCGGCCACGTGTTCCGAGTTGGCCGGCGCAGATGCTGCTGCGGATGCGCGCTTGACCCGCCGCCGGCCGCAGAGTTGTGGTTCACACGCGGTCGGGTTTTTCTTTGTTGTTGTTCCTGGTGTCTTCCACACTGTCTACCTTTTCCTTTCTTTCTTCTGCCAGGTCTTAGCTTCCACCTGTTTTGCTTGGAGGCTTGGGCAACTACTTTGATTTTGCAGTCTCTCAGCTCCGTCTCACGGACCTGCTCTCGATAATAAATTAGAAGTTGCTTCTGTTTTCTGCGATACTCTTGCCGGGGAGCTGGACATGTGCCGCTTTGCTCCCAAGTCCTGTCCTTAGGAGCACTCTCCTCCTTCTCCCTCACTGCTTTGAACTGCCGTCTTACTTTAAAGACCCTTAACACCTGACTTTTTGCCAGGGGTTGGTCCGAGCACTTTGGCGCTCTACACTCCCAACCCCCGACGTCGCACGTATATACTTTCGCTCCCGCGTTTGTATATGTATATATTTTTACAATGTATGTATATATATATATACACATGCTCTATATGTACACGTTTCTTTGGCTCTCTCTCTCTCTCTCTGTATATACATGTTCACATCCTCTTTTTCTGCAGCCCGGTCGCGCCAACCGACGCGACCCAACGCCTTTGCTTCACACTTTGCCTAGTCGCCAGGTAGCGCGAGCTGCCGGTGACCATCCTGCGGAGCTGACTCTGCAACGCCGAAAGATTGCGCGTTACAGCGGGCTCCACGGTGCCGAGCGGAGTTTTGAAGTGAACCACCAGGGTCACAACACAACACGGTGATGTGACGTGGGGCAGGTGTCATGCATGTGGTCTATAGATACTCTTAGCTCCAGTTCGATCATTCTAACCCACTGTCAGTAAGATACCAACTACTTTTTGATTCTTTTGAATGCTCAAGTTCTCTATACTTTTCTATACTATGCTTGCACATTCTGGCACTCGCATTCAGCGGGTAGCATTCCGCGAGTCATCAATGTATCTAAATCTAAATCTATATCTATATCTATATCTATCTATCTATATATATATATATGTACCGCAGTTTTGCACGTTCCAAACCATTGGCCTCAACCGGGCGATCAACCGGGCGATCGTCCGGCACTTGGAGCGGCCTCAGAGCTCACCTTCCAGGATCCGACCGCGTGGTTTTTTGTTTTATGATTACGATTTTCTTTTTGTTTAGGAGCTGCTTTGCTCCTTGTCGCTCACCCGACGGTGGTGCATGATCCTTGTCATTGAGACATGGCCCCCGCATGCCCCCACTGTTTCATGGACATCCTCCAGGCTTCAACAGTTTTCAATTCAATCCTTTGGTTTCAGGAGTTCGACACGGACAGCCGTGGTCAAGGACACTCTACTGTAACTGAAACTGAGACCATATTCAGTAGCCTGACGCCCGTGAGACGGGCGCAGAATGGGACAGTTTCAGGGTGAAGTAAAAGACCACCACGGGGCCATCACCACGGGGCCATCAGTGGTCAACGAGCTTAGCAGAGCAAAAAGACCACTTTCAAAGATTAACTGCCCCACCCGCGATGCAGCTTTGAGGCGTGTGTCCGCACCGAAGCACCCTCATGGTCAGAGGCCCATGTGGAAACGCCATGACAGACCAAAGGCTCCAAGGCCATCCTCAAAACACTAAACTATTACATTTTTTGTTCGTGTCTGAGTCTTCTACAGGTGGTGAACACAGCTGAGGAGAGGCTTTTCCGAATAAGCGTTTGACCGCAACATTCACCCTCCAGCCCTATGGGTCCACTGCCACCCGCATAGTGAGAGAGAGATATGTATATCGAGGGCATCATGATGAATCACATATGTGTGTTCGACACTTGTACTCAATATGCGCCTGGTGGGTGCAAGTGTCCTGTCATATGTTGCGAAGATACATATTTTCATATTGAGTGTGCTCCTGTGGCCTGCAGCCCTGGCAGCGCCCCGGACTGCAAGTGTTCCCTCGGGCTCCAGGGGCATCCTCGGGTCTTTCAGAGTCGCCGCTCGCTTTTTGTGCAACTCACTGGATGGATTGCAGCTTCCTCTCGGACTTGCGTCTTTCTCAAAGAGCTGTGAATGACGATCCAACGTTCAGCAGACGCATTATTTTGATCTATTTTGTATTTATACCCACTCCATACGTCTCCACATGTCGAGGTTTCATCAGCTTCAAGCAGGATCGGACACAGATCCAACACAGGTGAGTCTGTTTCCACCTGCATCATTTGCATTTTGCCCTTCAAAAACAGAAATATTGAATATATATATGTTTTTTTAACTCCCTGACTACCTCCTTCCCTCACTTCAAATTTATTTTTACTCCCATCGAAGACGTGCAGGCTGCGTCCAGGAGGACGTCACCGCACCCGTTTTTCCTCAACTTCCACAGGCCACACTGTTTCCGTGTCACCCGAATATCGCTCGTTTTCGTTCCGGCTCGGCTTTCACGCTTACAGCCACCAGCTTCCGACCAGCTTCTTTGGGCTCTCCGCCGCTCCCACCGCGAGCGCATCATGCCGGGCGACAACAAGCGTCGCCACTCTGAAGCCCCTCCGGCCAAGCCTGCAGCATCGAAGGTTCCGGCAACACCCCGAGCACCTCAGGCTGCGCCGCCCACAGAAGAGCCTCCATTCAATTGCATCAGCTCCATCACTTCCAGCAACGGCTGCGCCCAAACAGGCTCCACCCGCAGCAGCGCCTGCGCCGTTCTTCGTCAAGCGCCGGCGCAGCGGCGCCGCCAACTCAGCTCCGGCGCAGGTAACCCAACCTGCGCTCCAGACCAGCGTCCTGAAGTACAGCGCAGACGGCTCCCTCACGCACACCGACTTCGAACCCGACCTGCCCTGCTTTGCAATCCTCCGGCGCATGACCAACAAGCCGAGCCTCACCTATAAAATCAGGGGCTCCATCATTGCCTTCATTGAAGCTGGGGCGCGCGCCAATCCTGGTGGCGATGTCCCGCAGCGACTGAGCGACCTGGCCCCTTGGCTTTTCTTTCCACTGTTCTCATCACCTGAACTTGTCCTGCAATAGCGCCGTTTTCCCTAGTTCCTACATTTTCTGAGGTGGCATTCTCCCATGTTGCATTGGAGCTCTCCATCCACGGCGCACCGCCCTATGCCTCCACGCACTTGACCATCATGGCTGCTGGCACTGACGAGGCCTTCGTACTTCTCCTTGAGGGCAACACGTTTCCGCTCAAAGCCCAGACCAACCATTGCTGGCCGTGCGATGCCTTGTCGCAAAATGGCGTGAATAGATCGCAAAGTGTTGAAAACGACTGTTCTTGTATGGGGTGGTTGGGTCTCAAATGAAACACAAAATGTAGTTGCCGTTGGCCGCGGTGGGGAGGATACACTGGATGGAGTGTGTTGGTGGCTGGCGCTAGCCTGCAAACTGCGGGGTGTGAGGGGGCAAGTTGGAGAGATGGTGAAAAAAGGAGCCAATGAGAAGCATGCAGCGTAATTGAAAATACGGCGGCCTGCGAGGTGGAGTGGCCCAGGGCGCAGGGTTGAAGCGAGGTGGAGCCCAGATGGCTGCGGCGGTAGCAGAGACAGCGGCGGCGCAGTCGATGAGCCAGACGGGCGAGGCAGCTGAGGTTGCGAGTTGGTACGGGATTGTCTGGCTGGAGGAGAGTGATAGTATCCAGGAGTTGAGCGGCGAGGGAAAGCATAGTGGCGCATTGGCGGCCGTGGCGGCGCATAGGTGTCGGAGGTGACGCGGGACTGTGCCTGGAGGTGAGACGGCTCACCAGGCGCGGGGTGCCACGTGCGGATTCAATGGCAGCGGCAGCGAAGTTGAACCGTATGGGCAATGTGCGGAGCATACAGGATCAGGATGGGGTATTTTTTCCAAAGGGATCGTGATAATCAAATCAAACATGTGCACCGACATGGGTCTGCGATGCAGCGGTGCAAGTGCAATGTGGAAACGGGCCGGGGAAGCGCTCACTGGATTGGAAAAATTGAAGTCAGGTGGTTCCTCACTGGCGCCGGAAGCATGTCCTCCATGATGAGGCGATGGTAAACTTTGTGACGTAGGGCACTCAAAGCGGCCAGCAGCTTGTTGTCGTCGCGGAGCATGCCAGGCCGCCATGCGCTCACGCGTCTTCGGTGAGGGCTACATGCGGTCAGAAGGCGTGACAAGAGAGATGTGCGCCGTGTTCTACTCTTAGACTCTTAGCTTGACTCCCTGAAGCCACACTCTTTTTTGAAAGCGCCCAGTCTTCCCTAATTTTTCTGTTAGCCAGAGACATGAACATATAGCCCCTCTCTCTCTCTCTCTCTCGCTCCAGCACACTCAGCCGCATGATTTTGCACTTGTCTCCCACTTGTCTCCCTGCATTGCGCCGCATGAGTACTCTGGATACACTTGGCCGGATGTTTTTACGCCTGTCTCCACTTGTCTCCCTTCTCTCACTTGTCTCGGCCTACTCTGGATACGCGTGGCCGGATGTTTTTACACTTGTCTCCACTTGTCCCTTTGCTTGTCTCCCTGCTTGTATGCTCTCGGCTGGGTGATGTTACAGTTGTCTCCCTGCTTGTTTTTCTTCTTGCTTCGCTACTCTGGATACGCTTGGCCGGATGATTTGACACTTGTCTCCCTGGTGGTCTTTCTGCTTTTTTCTCCTTTCTTTGCTACTTGTCTCCACTTGTCTCCCTGCTTGTCTCCCTTGTTCCTTCACTTGTCTCCCTGCTTGTCTCACAAAGTTCATGGTGGGTCGAAAGCTTTTCACATCTTGTAACCAAACAAAGCATGACAAAGCCACATGTCAGTACAACTCAGCATATTCAGTAGATATGCGTATGTTCTGTCTTCGTCGGAATTGCCAGTTCTGACCTTGAGCCAATTGAGCCAAGTGCTGAAACAGGCCAACAAATTCCGAGTTGATCACCGCGAGCTGGAGCGGTTTGAGTCGTTGACTGTTTGACACTTCGTCTCTGTGGCTTACTTCAAAAGCGCGCAAACTGTTTGGGGTCTACGCTAGCATAATTCTGCTCTACTCTTTGAGCAGTTCTGATTGGTCGCCATTTCTGTTCCTCCACGTGCCCGAACTGATTTCAGGCGACAGGTCATATGATCCAAAGCGCTCCCAGACTCGCAGAGAACGAAGCACTCCACAAACTTGCTGGATTTCGCCTCATTTGGAAATCTGGTGGTCCCACCAATGCTGACTTGGTATGCAACAGCACGACCGGCACGACCCACCGTTTTGAGATCGACATCTCGTGCTGTACCTTTCAGGACCAAAATTTCAGAAATAGACACTCTGGCACGAAACCCACACTCGTTCAGGTGTGAGGCAGTTGTGAGGTGAAAGCTTGGTTTGCGCTCCCCTCACGAAACTGTGAAAACGTTGGAGATATGTCAGAACTGATGATGTCATGCCCAGCTTTGCTGGCTTTACTTGGAACATGTCCACGGTTTGCTTTGAATGGAGAGAGACGTTATGTTTAGCAGGTGAAACTGATTAGGATGGAACCGATGGAGCTCCAGCGTTATTTCAAGATCTCGAACAGCCCCTTGAATGCATTTGCATTGAGTTCAGCTTCGGAGTGTTTTAACGAGAGCGCTTCATGCTGAGGCACTTGGGCATCTTAAGGCTGATATTGGCCATTGTAGAGAATCTTGGGACATATATATATATACACATGTATACATATATACACATATATATATATATCACGTATACTTATATGTGAAGTTTTTCCATCCTACGGATCAAGGACATGGGTCTGACTGAATGCAGGTGGTACTTGGTACCACTACTGCATCTAGAGGTGTTGCCTGTGATTCTGGTTTTTCCAGCTAGGGACTGGTAGTGGTAAATCATCACATGCAAATATCAGCCATACTATTGGATACTATTGGTCAATTGCCATAGGACTCTGCATTTTGTGGGAAGGTCTAACTTCGCAGGATGCTCAAATTGAAGCTCTTCAGGAAGTGGGAAGTGGACGAAGTGTAGAAGTCTGGCTTCCGTCCTAGGCCCCTACTTTGTTGAACGCCACAAGGCCTCAAAAACCAACCAACATGTTCCCTGCCGGATGGCTTGTGTTTTTTCTGACGAGCAGGGGATAATAGTAAGTTCCCTGCCTTTTGGGGTTGAAGCTTGGGCTGAAGGATGACATGTCGGTGTGGGATTATTGATTCCTGGGTTTGTGTTTAGGTTGTGTCATTTTGTGCGGCTTACACCAACAAGCAGCTAGCCGCTAGTTCTGCACGGATGTTGCAGGGTCCGCGATGGGTTTGTTTAGGATTTTTTTGGAAAGACAGAACGTAGCTCTCCCAATTCCTGTGCCTGTTTGGGACTCCATTTTGATCCTTTGCAGGAGGCAGAACAGAGACTCACATAGACTCACCAATTCGCATAGTGTGCTCGAAGGTCCAACACTTTTAGAGAGCTCGAGCCTGAACGGGCTCATTCACAGAGCGATGCTGCCTTGACAATTTCAATGGCAGACGTCAGTGAAGTTCTTCGCGAACCGATCCTGACAGTCAGGACCAGAGCGCCTCCATGCTGAAAAGACGGTGGTCGTGGGGTAGGCTTGAGATAGTCTCGAGGTCAAACTGAGGTGTTCAACGCACCTTTGCCACCTGTTCGAGGGTAGTATGTAGCCTCAACAACAGCGATGCCTCACCAGCGATGCCTTCAACCACATTTAGCACATCATGGCAATATGCAACTTTGGCTGCACTTGCACTATACAACCACATGTGGCCCGCCTTAAGACGAAAGAGAGATCGCTGCTACTTTAAATGAGAAATTCTTGAGTTTACTCTGTGACCCAGGCTTTGTTTCCTTTGTTTTATGATGTTTTACGGGATAAAGACTCCACCCAATGTGACTTCAGATGTCAGTTCCAACAAGAAACTGTTTGTCTACCACAACACTTTACCCCCCCGCACTGCCGGGCAGTACGGATCCACCGTTCTTCTTGCTCTCAAGAGAGTATAATTGGGAGGCCCATGTTGCAAAGCCCGGTACAGGTTACATGGTATGAAACCTGTTGCATGGCGACCCAGTCGCCCCGCGGGCTCGGTCATGATACGGGTCATGTCTTGAGGAACTGTCGGTGCTGACGACCTTTCATACGGATTGTTTCCACCCTGCTTTTTTGGTGGTACGCGAATCAAATTGCCCCTTGGGCCGGAGCTTTTGGCCCACAGTCATGGATCACATGCGGTTCTGCCACATTGGAATAGAAGGCTCTGCCAAAGAGCATGATTGAACGCTTTGAAAACGAAACAACCTGCGAGCTTAGAGTGATTCTCATGCAAGAGTTTTGCTGCTTGTGAAACATCTAGACGAATCCCGCACGTATTCTGCAAGTCAAGACAACCATTCTTGCGTATCGTTGAATGGAGTACCCCATCGAATCATTTCCACGCAAGTTCGTTGCCGGGCAGCATGGATGTGGTGAAAGCCTCCGCCGAGAAAGCTGGTCGTTTGAAGGCGCCAAGCAACAATTCTTTGTGTGCCTGTCAGCTTGTTCCACGACAACTCTTTGGGTTTATGGGAACATGACGTGTTGATGGTCACATGCCTGACAACTATGATCAACAAAAGCTTTGACAGAAGTTACATTGGTGTAGGTGATGATGTGGTTTTCAGGTTCCATGTTAATCTTCCATGGTTATATGATATGTTACATTCAAGGATGTCGGAGCAAGAAGAACTGATGTTGGACATGTGCCTCCCTCATAGGAAATGGCTAGTTGATGTGACCATGATGTGAACTCACATCGATCTACTCGCAAGGGAAACGACATGATCCAGAAGCAGTTGATGTGATTTCGGTTCGTGGTTGTACTGCCCTCGTGGTCAAGGTGTTTTTGGCGTTATTGCCCGCGTCCTGTTCTGGGTGGCGTAACGAAAGCTTGACAGTTGCGTGTGCGGTTGGCCCGGTGCCAAAGGATCGTCTTTGAGTTTGTCGGGGCACGCCGCTACTATTAGCAGTTCTAGGTTAATTGCCTCTTATCGTTGCTGGCTTTCAACCCCTCCCCCTGACGTATGCCATGGGGACCCTTGGGAAGGGGAAGAAGGGGTGATGACCATGCCTTCCACACAAGAGACGTTTGGACCATGGCTCATTCTCTGGTGAGCCCTTGTCAAGCTCCAACATTTGGTGTAGACTTCCAACTATTGGTTTTAACGAAGAACCGTGATTTTCCAATGCATTTTAGACACAAAGGTGGAGCTGTTTTGCAAGGGTCTTGGAAGATCCCAGGAAACAACCTCCTGACTC